TGAAAAGGCTTTAAGAAAACTTGATATAAAAAAAGAAACAACAAGTGTGATTACTAAGGCAGTTATATAGAATTTTAGACACTCTATATGAAGAAATAATCAAATTTGTGGTACATTTATACTAGAGAATAAATGCTAGCTGCTTACCATACAATGCGGTCCACCTTTGTAGGGTGTCTAAAAGGTCTTATTATATGTTTTTTTTATTTTCTAAAACTTTCTGCTTCCTTATGTTTTTGCTCATATATCAGTGACAAATGTAGTCCCGTTTAATTTTTTTTCGTTTACATTTAAATTGGTTAATATAATTTGCAATAACAATTTAAAAAAATGGTAATATTATAAATTATTTAAGTAACTACCGTTCGTTACGAGATGGTTATTTAACGATTTTATTTTGTATTTTATACTCTTGGTAAAGAAGTAAAATATAAAAGTGCATTTCCATTTAAATTGTTTTGTTTTTGAAACGTACGCTCTTCTTTCATTCGATATTGAGGTAGTTAGTTAAAAAAATTATTGTTAATTTTCAATCGCTATAAACAAATGATAAAAAAAAGGTATTTGACAGGTTTTGGGTTTAATTACTAATATTTAGCTTCAATAATCGTTAAAAAAATCGTTAAAAAATTTTAGAAAAATATTTCAAAAAAGAAAATTAAAATGGAAGTTTTTCATTTTATCAGGCTAATAGTATACGCACAACTGGGACGAACGACGAATTTTTCGGAACGAATATTCGTCGTCAGAAATAGAACACACTTGGGTATATGAAAATGTACACAATCATTGCGTATGACGAAATTCGTCGTACGTAACGAACTATGCGATAGGTTTATTTCTATTTCTTACGCAGACGAACGACGAATTAATTGGGGAAAATTATTGTAAAACCAATTCCGGTAGCCCGAATTTGCTGAAATTTGGCGGTTGTGAGTACAGCTAATGACAAAACAATATTATGTTCAAATATTCCAAATTATATTCGAAAATTCTAAGTTATGTTCGAAAAATTTTTTATGCTCTTAAAATAATCTCTGAGTCATAAAAACTAAAAAAAAAAAATTCGAAAATTCGAACTTAAGTTCGAACAAATTTTAAAGCCATTAAAACCAGTTCTCGTGGCCCGAATTGTCTTAGATATGGCAGTCTGGAGTACACTTGATGACACTACAATGCTGTGTTGGAATATTTAAAATTAAGTTCGAAAATTTGAAGTAATGTTCGAAAAAATTTTGAAGCTGTTAAAATAATCTCCAAATTGGGGATATTCACAAAAATATAATTTAGTTCTTTTCGAGGCCAATTTCTTACATTTTCTAATTTCGAAATAATGTTCGAATAAACTTTAAAGTTGTTAAAATTATCTCAAAATCGTATAGATTCACAAAAGTATAATTTTTGTTCCTTTTTCTTACTTTTTCCAATTTCGAACCAAGAAATTTTGAAACGAATTCGCAGTACGATTAATTTGATTATGTTCCATTCGACTAATTTACGCGACGAATTTTTGTCGACTAGTTCGTCATGTTATACGAAATTCGTCGTTCGTCCCAATTGTGCCTATACCATAAGTTACCTTTTCAATTACATTTACATTTGAAGCGATTGTAATTAAAGCTTAACCAATTACAATATCCTTCCTTACGTCTGTCCTTCCATGTGTCTGTCCTTCTGTCCGTCCGTCAGTCTGTCCTTCCGTCCGTCCGTCTGTCCTTCGTCCGTCTATGTAAGCCTTTTAATCAAAGTGCAGGTCGCAAATTTGAAGATAATTCGCTAAAATAGTCTAAAGACATACCCTATAGATTTTCATCAAAATCGGTCCATTATTTTACCAAGCCCACATACATGGGACCCCTTAATATCGCTTTAGATCCCCAAAATTATGTTTAATATGTACGTATCTTTATCAAAATTGACTCAACTAGATTTTCGTTATAATGGGTCCATATGCTGGGTGCGACTAGGATTTATTACTTGATAAAAAAAAACCTTATTTTCTTAAAGTAAAGTGGTAAAGTTCATATAGAATTCTCTACTGCCAGTTTTAGGTCAAAACTTAATTGAGAAAACTCTTCAAAGGTCATGTACTTTTAACACACTCTTACTGACATGTCAGCAATATATTAAGACAATTCCTTTTGAATATACTGTCATTTTAAACCAGCTACTTTTTTATTTAAAAACAATTTCAAAAATCTTAATACTTTTACATAAACATATTTTTGTTTAACATTTAATCAAGATGAAAAGTTAAAAAAAAAATATGTACAAAAATTTTACTCCATTTGTTCATTGTCATATTAAATGGACAATATATTAATCCTTATAAATTGTTAACTTCTTTACAGAATATTTAATTTTTTTTTTGTATTTTCATTTTATGTCTCTGTTTTATTGCATGTGTGAATTTCTGCACATTAATATTCAAATAAATCTCATTAAAATCAAACATAAATCTTAAAATTTTTGGCAGTTTAACATACATAAAGTTGATTTCCTTAACGAAAACACTCCACACAAGAACAGGAAATTTGAAAAAAAAAAATACAAATAAAATTTTAAATTCCAATGAAAGCAAAACCAATAAGAAAAATAACTTTTTTTTAGTTAATGTAAAAAAAGAAACAACAAATGTAATAATTTGTGCAGACTAAGAACAAAACGTTTTTTTTTATGCAGGTTTTATACCCTACACTACTATAGTGGGGAGGGTACTATGCGTTTGTGCTGATGTTTGTAATACCCAAAAATATTGGTCCTATACCCACCTTAAAGTATATAAATCTGTTCAGAATCACTTTCTTTGTCTGTCTGTCCGTCCGTCCGTCCGTCTGTATGTCTGTCTGTCTGTCTGTCTGTCCATCTGTGTGTTCATGTAAACTTTGTGCTCACACTACAGATCAGAATTTTCAAGTTAATTTTTTGAACTTTGCAAATACTCTACTTTTAACCCTAGGACGTCATTGAAAATGATTGAAATCGGTCATTTATTTCGCCTAGCCCCCATATACAATCTTAAAAGCAGTTTGAAATATATAGCAGTAGTTTGAAAAGTGGTCAGTGTTCCCCCGGGGGTTTTGCTCTCAATATTGTAATATTTTCAGTTATTTTAGCATACATTTTAAATAGTTTTCATTCAGTTTGAATTAGATAGCTATAGTTTAAATGCTGGTCAGTGTTCCCCTGGGGTGCTCTACTCTAACTATTGTAAAACTTTCAGTTATTTAAGTACAAGTTTTAAATAGTTTTCATTAAAAAAAGTTTTTATCGAGCAATGCTAAAGTATGAATTCAAACGTTATTGAAAATGGTTGAAATCCCCCAGGATCTCATTATTGTAATATTTTCAGTTATTTTAGCACACATTTTAAATAGTTTTCATTCAGTTTCAATTAGATAGCTATAGTTTAAATGCTGGTCAGTGTTCCCCTGGGGTACTCTACTCTCACTATTGTAAAACTTTAAGTTATTTTAGCAAAAATTTTAAATAGTTTTCTTAAAAAAAGTTTTTATCGAGCAATGCTAAAGTGCCAATAGAAATGTCATTGAAAATGGTTGAAATCGGTTAGCTGTAGTTTGAAAAGTGGTCAGTATTCCCTCGGGGGTTCTACTCTCAATATTGTAATATTTTCAGTTATTTTAGCATACATTTTAAATAGTTTTCATTCAGTTTGAATTAGATAGCTATAGTTTAAATGCTGGTCAGTGTTCCCCTGGGGTGTTCTACTCTCACTATTGTAAAACTTTTAGTTATTGAAGTACAAATTTTAAATAGTTTTCATTAAAATAAGTTTTTATAGATCAATGCTAAAGTACCAATTGAAATGTTATTGAAAATGGTTGAAATCGGTTAGCTGTAGTTTGAAAAGGGGGCAGTGTTCCCCCGGGGGCTCTACTATCATTATTGTAATATTTTCACTTATTTTAGCACACATTTTAAATAGTTTTCATTCAGTTTGATTTAGATAGCTATAGTTTAAATGCTGGTCAGTGTTCCCCTGGGGTGCTCTGCTCTAACTATTGTAAAACTTTCAGTTATTTAAGTACAAGTTTTAAATAGTTTTCATTAAAAAAAGTTTTTATCGAGCAAAGCTAAAGTACCAATTGAAACTTAATTGAGTCCCCGGGGGTCCCAAAGAATTGAGTCCTCCGGGGGTCCCAAAGACCGCTTTCATAATATATCCAAAATGTTTCTTTTACCATAACTTAACTTTTCAGAAGGAGTTTTTATGAATCGCCTTTTACCTTTAATTTTCACATTTCACCTTCTTTTTCACATTCTACATGATTTGTTTGTTTCAATAAAGCGGTAGTCTGGTTGCAGGTATTTTTTATCAGAAGAAGAAACGTTTTTATTTTTTCTTCTTTCTTGTGTTCTTATAAATGTCTGTAAGTTTTAACGCTTATAAATTTTTTTAAATGCTGTTATTTTTTTCTGTTTTGCAAAATCCTCTTTCATGTAGTTTGTGGTTTATCTTTATATGTATATGAAATATGGCTTTAAGATTGGATTTTCAACACTGTGTTCTTTTTGGTAGTTTGTCGTTTTCTTTTTCGTGGTTGTTTCTTTTGCTTAAAGATTATCATATGATTTGTAGAAGTGTTGGTTTCTAGGTGGTTTACGAAACTTTTTCTTTTTAATACTCTTGGCCCTTTGGAGGTGAAACCAAAAGAGATGAGTTGGTTTATAATTCTTTTATTAATAACAAAATTTTAAATATAAAAGTTTTGAGTAATGTCAATGTTTTGTATAAATAGCAAAGATACCCCTGGGGACCTTAGACCACCACTAAATAGTTTAACATTAATGATTGACAGCCGGTCATTGTTCGTCCGGCTTTCTTTCATAAACAATTTTACGGTATTTGAGCAGTCTTTTAGTCTCATTCTTTAAACTAGTCCTCAGTTCTCAGGGGTTGTAAGTCTCAAAAGCATGAATTTAAAAAAAACGAAATTTTTACTAAATCAACCCTAACATCTTAATTTCTTATCTTTTAGGTACCCGAAAACATTGCCATTGGTCATATAGTGGGATCAGTGGATGCCTCCGATCGCAGCAAACAAAATATGATCTTTAACGAAGATAATCTTTACATAACCTACACCTTAACACCCCTATCCAAAGACCTTATCGAGGGAGCCTTTGATATTGATCGTCATACAGGGTCTCTAGTAGTGGCACGCCAATTGGATCGTGAACTACAGGCAGAATTTCGTTTGGAAATAAGAGCCCTAGATACCAGTGCCAGCAATAATCCACAAAGTAGTGCCATAGCGGTTAAAATCGAAATATTAGATGTCAATGATAATGCACCCAGTTGGCAGGAAGATCCCATAAAAATACAAGTCAGTGAATTGGCCAGTGAGGGTTCGGTTATCTATAATTTCTCAGCCACTGATGCGGATACTGGTCTTAATGGACAAATACAATATAAATTGCTGAAATATAGTCCCAAGAATTGGAATGTGGATAAGTTGCCAAAGGAAGACAGAGATCTATTTAATGTTGATATATTAACTGGAGGTCTAACTGTTATGGGGCCTTTGGATTATGAGACCATTAAGGAATATATATTAATAGTGCAAGCTTTTGATTTGGCTGAAAATAAAACCGAACGTTTATATACCTCAGTGACTGCGGTGGTTAAGGTGTTAGATGAAAATGATAATAAACCAGAATTTGTAATACCACCTCTTAATCGTGAACCCAAAAACAAATATGGTTTGCAAAACAAAAATGATACTCCCACGGCCACGGTTTTTATTTCCGATAACAAAAGAGTAGGAGATCTATTAATGCATATAGTGGCCATAGATCCAGATACCGGCAATAATGGACGCATTACTTATACCCTGGTAAATGGCAATGAATTAACTTATTTTCGTTTAAATAAGGAAACAGGGTTTCTCGAACTAGCCAAACCTTTGCCACCAGTAGTGCATAATACCGCCGATGGAATAGCCAATCTGAATACCATACAACGTAATAGATTTGATTTGCTTATAAAGGCTCAAGATCAGGGTGCTAAGGAAAAGTTAAGCTCTTTAATGAAATTGGAAATTTTGGTTAGAGGTACTAAAAGTAATCCACCACGTTTTCTAAAGTCTAGCTATTATGCCAATATAACGGAAAATGCTTCAGCCGGCAGTTTTGTAGTGCAAGTGTCAGCCAAGTCTTTTAATGGGGGTGAAAATGGTGAGTAAAAATTTGAATATTTAGCAATAATTTCTAAAATAAACTTATTATGCACAAACACATACCTCCATTCTTAAAAAAAGCAAATATTTTTCTTAAAAATTCCTTAAACTGTCTTGTAATGATTCTTTTGTTTTGATCATTTCTATGATTTTGTTTGCTTGTTAAAATTTCTTAACAAAACTTTAAGCAAACCGAAAAAAAAGATCAAAATAGAAAATCACGAGGTGTCCATCAATCTGTCTACATCATACAATTTTCATCCATCTCACATAGTCACAAGTTAAAGCCGAACAACCACTCACTCAGCCAGACGTTATTCAGTCATTCAGTCTCCTACCACTCACTCAAAAACTCACTTAGTGAGACGGCATATGCAAAACTGAAAAAAAAAAAACAATTAACGGTTTTGTTTCTGATTCTTTATTCATTCACTCATACACTCACTCACTCCGCCACTTACTTATTCATACTTACAAATGTGTTCTTTTTTCCTTCTAATTCCTTATTACAGCTAATCTCACCTATGAGATACCAACAGGTGTCGCCGATAATCATTTTCATGTTGACACCCAACGTGGCATTGTCACCACACGCGGTCAATTTGATCGTGAAACAAAAGCCTCATATACGGTGCCAATTTATGTATATGATGCTAAACGTTCAACATCTGCAGCAGCAGCAAGTAGTAGCAATGGAAATTCCTTGATGGCACGTAGGCAAAGATCATCGGTAAATGAAGCGGCTGCCGCACAAAATGGTCAATTTGATGTTGCCATTTTATATATAACCATAACTGACATTAATGATCATGCACCGGAATTTAGACCGGGATCATGCTATGCACTCTCAGTACCGGAAAATAGTGATTTGGCGGTAATACACACAATTGTGGCCACTGATTTAGATGAAGGTGCCAATGGTGAAATAATGTATACCATAATAGGTGAGTAGAGAGAGAGAGAGCAAAAAACAATAATAACAAGAAAGTTTATTAATGATCATGCATTGAAAACAATAAATATTTTCTTTTTTATTAAAACCCCTACAGGTGGCAATACTGGCAATAAATTCAGTTTGGACATAAACTCCGGTGAATTGACTGCCCGTCCTTTGGATCGTGAGCAACAGTCGCGTTATATTTTACAAATACAAGCCACTGATCGTGGTTCTCCCATTAGCTATCAAGGTCATTGTAATATTACCGTTATTGTCGAGGATCAAAATGACAATGATCCTCATTTTGAACAATCGAAATATGTGGCGAATGTAGCGGAAAATGTTCCCGTTGGTACCAGTGTTATGCGCATTAAAGCTATGGATGATGATTTGAGCATCAATGCTAGACTTTTGTATACCTTGGCGAATGAGACTCAATGGGTGTTCGCTATCGATAATAAAAGTGGTGTTATCAGTACAGTGGGGTAAGTTGGATCTAATTTATATTTGTCTTTTTGATAACTTTTGAATTCTGTTAAGGGAATGTTAGACTATAGACTAGACTAGACTATAACAACTAGACTAGAGACTAGACTATAGACTAGACTATAGACTAGACTATAGACTAGACTATAGACTAGACTATAGACTAGACTATGAGAACTGACTATAGACTACTATAGACTAGACTATAGACTAGACTCTAGACTAGACTATAGAACTAACTATAGAACTAGACTATAGACTAGACTATAGACTAGATTATAGACTAGATTATAGACTAGATTATAGACAGATAGATTAGACTAGACTATAGACTAGACTATAGACTAGACTTAGACTAGACTATATACTAGACTATAGACTAGACTATAGACTAGACTATAGACTAGCTATAGACTAGACTATAGACTAGACTATAGACTAGACTATAGACTAGACTATAGACTAGACTATAGACTAGACTATAGACTAGACTATAGACTCGACCTATAGACTAGACTATAGACTAGACTATAGACTAGACTATAGACTAGACTATAGACTAGACTATAGACTAGACTATAGACTAGACTATAGACTAGACATAGACTAGACTATGACTAGACTAGAGACTAGACTATAGACTAGACTATAGACTAGACTATAGACTAGACTATAGACTAGGACTATAGACTAGACTATAGACTAGACTATAGACTAGACTATAGACTAGACTATAGACTAGACTATAGACTAGACTATAGACTAGACTATAGACTAGACTATAGACTAGACTATAGACTAGACTATAGACTAGACTATAGACTAGACTATAGACTAGACTATAGACTAGACTATAGACTAGACTATAGACTAGACTATAGACTAGACTATAGACTAGACTATAGACTAGACTATAGACTAGACTATAGACTAGACTATAGACTAGACTATAGACTAGACTATAGACTAGACTATAGACTAGACTATAGACTAGACTATAGACTAGACTATAGACTAGACTATAGACTAGACTATAGACTAGACTATAGACTAGACTATAGACTAGACTATAGACTAGACTATAGACTAGACTATAGACTAGACTATAGACTAGACTATAGACTAGACTATAGACTAGACTATAGACTAGACTATAGACTAGACTATAGACTAGACTATAGACTAGACTATAGACTAGACTATAGACTAGACTATAGACTAGACTATAGACTAGACTATAGACTAGACTATAGACTAGACTATAGACTAGACTATAGACTAGACTATAGACTAGACTATAGACTAGACTATAGACTAGACTATAGACTAGACTATAGACTAGACTATAGACTAGACTATAGACTAGACTATAGAGTAGACTATAGACTAGACTATAGACTAGACTATAGACTAGACTATAGACTAGACTATAGACTAGACTATAGACTAGACTATAGACTAGACTATAGACTAGACTATAGACTAGACTATAGACTAGACTATAGACTAGACTATAGACTAGACTATAGACTAGACTATAGACTAGACTATAGACTAGACTATAGACTAGACTATAGACTAGACTATAGACTAGACTATAGACTAGACTATAGACTAGACTATAGACTAGACTATAGAGAGCTAGACATAGACTAGACTAGACTAGACTATGGACTAGACTATAGACTAGACTATAGACTAGACTATAGACTAGACTATAGACTAGACTATAGACTAGACTATAGACTAGACTATAGACTAGACTATAGACTAGACTATAGACTAGACTATAGACTAGACTATAGACTAGACTATAGACTAGACTATAGACTAGACTATAGACTAGACTATAGACTAGACTATAGACTAGACTATAGACTAGACTATAGACTAGACTATAGACTAGACTATAGACTAGACTATAGACTAGACTATAGACTAGACTATAGACTAGACTACAGACTAGACTATAGACTAGACTATAGACTAGACTACAGACTAGACTATAGACTAGACTATAGACTAGACTATAGACTAGACTATAGACTAGACTATAGACTAGACTATAGACTAGACTATAGACTAGACTATAGACTAGACTATAGACTAGACTATAGACTAGACTATAGACTAGACTATAGACTAGACTATAGACTAGACTATAGCCTAGGCTATAGACTAGACTATAGACTAGACTATAGACTAGGCTATAGCCTAGGCTATAGACTAGACTATAGACTAGACTATAGACTAGACTATAGACTAGACTATAGACTAGACTATAGACTAGACTATAGACTAGACCATAGACTAGGCTATAGACTAGACTATAGACTAGACTATAGACTAAACTATAGACTAGACTATATACTAGACTATAGACTAGACTATAGACTAGACTATAGACTAGACTATAGACTAGACTATAGACTAGACTATAGACTAGACTATAGACTAGACTATAGACTAGACTATAGACTAGACTATAGACTAGACTATAGACTAGACTATAGACTAGACTATAGACTAGACTATAACTAGACTATAGACTAGACTATAGACTAGACTATAGACTAGACTATAGACTAGACTATAGACTAGACTATAGACTAGACTATAGACTAGACTATAGACTAGACTATAGACTAGACTATAGACTAGACTATAGACTAGACTATAGACTAGACTATAGACTAGACTATAGACTAGACTATAGACTAGACTATAGACTAAACTATAGACTAGACTATAGACTAGACTATTACTAGACTATAGACTAGACTATAGACTAGACTATAGACTAGACTATAGACTAGACTATAGACTAGACTATAGACTAGACTATAGACTAGACTATAGACTAGACTATAGACTAGACTATAGACTAGACTATAGACTAGACTATAGACTAGACTATAGACTAGACTATAGACTAGACTATAGACTAGACTATAGACTAGACTATAGACTAGACTATAGACTAGACTATAGACTACTATAGACTAGACTATAGACTAGACTATAGAGTAGACTATAGACTAGATAGACTAGACTATAGACTAGACTATAGACTAGACTATAGACTAGACTATAGACTAGACTATAGACTAGACTATAGACTAGACTATAGACTAGACTATAGACTAGACTATAGACTAGACTATAGACTAGACTATAGACTAGACTATAGACTAGACTATAGACTAGACTATAGACTAGACTATAGACTAGACTATAGACTAGACTATAGACTAGACTATAGACTAGACTATAGACTAGACTAGACTATAGACTAGACTATAGACTAGACTATGGACTAGACTATAGACTAGACTAGACTAGACTATAGACTAGACTATAGACTAGACTATAGACTAGACTATAGACTAGACTATAGACTAGACTATAGACTAGACTATAGACTAGACTATAGACTAGACTATAGACTAGACTATAGACTAGACTATAGACTAGACTATAGACTAGACTATAGACTAGACTATAGACTAGACTATAGACTAGACTATAGACTAGACTATAGACTAGACTATAGACTAGACTATAGACTAGACTATAGACTAGACTATAGACTAGACTACAGACTAGACTATAGACTAGACTATAGACTAGACTACAGACTAGACTATAGACTAGACTATAGACTAGACTATAGACTAGACTATAGACTAGACTATAGACTAGACTATAGACTAGACTATAGACTAGAGATAGACTAGACTATAGACTAGACTATAGACTAGACTATAGACTAGACTATAGACTAGACTATAGACTAGACTATAGACTAGACTATAGACTAGACTATAGCCTAGGCTATAGACTAGACTATAGACTAGACTATAGACTAGACTATAGCCTAGGCTATAGATTAGACTATAGACTAGACTATAGACTAGACTATAGACTAGACTATAGACTAGACTATAGACTAGACTATAGACTAGACCATAGACTAGGCTATAGACTAGACTATAGACTAGACTATAGACTAAACTATAGACTAGACTATATACTAGACTATAGACTAGACTATAGACTAGACTATAGACTAGACTATAGACTAGACTATAGACTAGACTATAGACTAGACTAGACTAGACTATAGACTAGACTATAGACTAGACTATAGACTAGACTATAGACTAGATATAGACTAGACTATAGACTAGACTATAGACTAGGACTATAGACTAGACTATAGACTAGACTATAGACTAGACTATAGACTAGACTAGACTAACTAGACTAGACTATAGACTAGGACTATAGACTAGACTATAGACTAGACTATAGACTAGACTATAGACTAGATATAGACTAGACTATAGACTAGACTATAGGACTAGACTTATAGACTAAACTATAGACTAGACTATAGACTAGACTATATACTAGACTATACACTAGCCTATACACTAGACTATAGATTAGACTATAGACTAGACTATAGACTAAACTATAGACTAGACTATAGACTAGACTATATACTAGACTATACACTAGCCTATACACTAGGACTATAGGACTAGACTATAGACTAGACTATAGACTAGACTATAGACTAGACTATATACTAGACTATATGATAGGACTATAGACTAGACTATACACTTAGACTATATACTAGACTATATTATAGGACTATATACTAGACTATAGACTAGACTATAGACTAAACTATACACTAGACTATAGAAAAGGACGAAATCAATGAATGCCCTTAAAGTCATTTCGCTTACCAATCCTGTACAAATATGTATGTATGTATGTATATGTGTATGTCGGAAAGAAGAAGTTTAAAGAAACTCCCTTCACCACCAATCCAAATATCTAATAGTCGAAACAAATATTTTTGTCATTTTTACTAGTGACATAACACAATATACGAATTCCTTTTTGCAAAAGGATTGTTGTAAAACAATAATGTGTTTCTTTTTTCACTTATGATTTTAAAAGCTGGGGAGACGAGAGCAGGAAAAAAT